AGATAGATAGATAGATAGATAGATAGATAGATAGATAGATAGATAGACAGACAGATATAGAGAGAGAGACAGACAGACAGACATACATACATACATACATACATACATACATAGACAGATAAGAAATGAAAAGGAAAAAGCAGGGGAAGGGAGAACAGAGTATGCCTTTTACTGTATGGCAACACTTAAGATACACAGGAAAGATATAAAATATGCCCTCATATTTCAAGTATCCACTAGGGGTCTTGAATTGCAGCTCCTCAGGACAACAGGGAACTAGAGAATAAATATAATGCAAATGCCTTTCATTTTTTCTGCATTTTTTTCTCTTTCCTGTACATGTTCAAATACACAAGGCTCTACAAACTTTTTTACATTTTACACAAATGATATCAATTGTATACACAACCTTTTCCAACTAACTTTATTCACTTAACATTATGTCTTCTAGAGATGGGCTAACGGTAAGAGATACAGGTCTAACTTACTTATATAAGTCTGTGTATACACATAGGTATCTAGACTCACAGAAATTCACCTGCCTTAGCCTCCACTGGGATTAAAGGCATGCATTATTACACCTGGCATGATCTAATTAATTTGAACTCCTTTGTAGTGTTCCATTCTATAAATAAAGCAGTTATTTATCCAGAATTCCTATAAAGTTTATTTCCATTTTTTTTTTAAAGCATTGCTTTGTTGCTTGTTTGTGTCACATATAAACAAACTTATACTACAATAAACATCTTGGTCTAGTGTTTTCTTGTACACATGCACATTTTTTTTTTCAGAGAAAGAAATCTAATGACAGTCTTTCTGGACTGCAGAATATAAATCTCAACAATACCAAGACTTGAGAAATTTCCTCCAGAGTAGCTCCAACTGACACTGACACGCCACTGTATAAAGAATAAAGAAATTCGTACCTTCTTAAAAATGTCTAACAATCTTGTCATTCTATGGTTTTAATTATAATCTTCCAAATTACTAACATTGATTACTAAACATCTTATGCTTTCCCCTGGTATTTTATTTAAACTCTTATCCCTAGAATATACAAGGTCCTTAGGTCAAGCTCCAACATGCACATACTTTTTAATAATTAATTCTTTTTTTTTTTTTTTGGTTTATTGAGACAGGGTTTCTATGTGTAGCCCTGGCTGTCTTGGAACTCACCCTGTAAACCAGGCTGGCCTTGAACTCACAGAGATGGGCCTGCCTCTGCCTCCCTGAGTACTGGAATAAAGGTATGTGCCACCGGGGCTGGAAAGATGGCTCAGAGGTTAAGAACACTTGCTGTTCTTCCAAAGGTCCTGAATTCAATTCCCAGCAACCACATGGTGGCTCATAACCATCTATAGTAAGATCTGGTATGCAGGTAGAATATTGTATAAATAATAAAAAAAAATAAAATCTTAAAAAAAAAGGTGTATGCCACCATAGCCTGGTAAAAAAATAATTCTTATAAATCTTCCTGTTTCAAAAGAAAAATGTCACTTTGTTTTAAAAAAAAAAATTAAGTGGCAGTATTCCTTCCCATTGTAGGATCAGAACATACCCGATCAGTACCAAAACTTTATTCCCAACTGGTCATGGACAATAAATCTTTTGCCTATTCACAAGCTGAATTAAAGAAGCGGGAGAGAGCCAGGAGTGGTGGAGCATGCCAGTAATCCCAGTACTCTGAAAAGACAGGAAGGTAGGAGTTCAAGACCAACCAGGTCACATAAACAGAGCTAGTCTAAAAAATAAAAAATTAAAGGAACGAGTTGGGTGGTGGCTGCGCATGTCTTTAATCCCAGCACTCAAGAGGCAGAGGCAGGCGAATCTCTGTGAGTTCCAAGCCAGACTGATCTACAGAGTTCCAAAACAGCCAACCCTGTCTCAACACAAAACAAAACAAACAGCAGAAGGTGGCAAACAATGGCTCAGTGTGTAAAGGCTCCTGCTGCCAATCCTGGCAACATGGATCTGATGCCCAGGACCTCTACATACATATCATGGCATACCCCAAACCCACCCCCAAAAAAATAGTGAATGTAATTCTTTTTTTAGAAAAAGAAATGAAGGGGAAAGGAAGAACGTAACTGGAGATTGCTCCAAAGAGAGGAGTACTCTGTTCACAGTTGAAGCTTATGCCAACAAAGTGACTGGTTTAACTGCTGCCTTAATCCTCATCTAGGCAACCATTTGTCATCCATCAACACATACAGTGAGTTTGCAGAGCAGCCAGGCTAGGTCCATCCACCAAGGTCCTAACAGCTGAACTACATTACGTTTGCAAACCACATTTAGCTAACTACTACTATAACCACCTTGAAGGTGCTTAAAATTTTTATTTACTTTGGAAAGCACTGTGTACAGTATCAAATTACCAGTATTTTCTCATCCCTCCTACGGCCAGGGAAAATCCACCTGTTTATATGAATAAAATCAAGCTATTTGTCTCTTAACAGCTACTTTCTCTTTTCTTTTCTTTTCTTTTTTTTTAAGAGTGAAAGAAGCTAAAGGAACAAAACTATGTATCTTAAAAATAGAACTCCAAGCTAGG